GCGACCTTCCGACTTGTAGCGTAGTGCCTTAACCACTACGCTACCGCGTAAACAACATAGACATGATCAAATTGGCTTTCATATATAGGATGTGAAAATATGTTATCGAATGATGCGTCGAGACTGCCTGACGATGAACGCCATCTGTTAGACACTGCCTGCTGACTAATGAACAAGCAAAGAAACGGGCAACGCTGCAGAAAAACTGACTCTTATGTAGCGTGTGTGTAAGGAAGTCTGTTGGCAGGCGCTGACTCAGATTGCGTTTCAGTGCGGGATCTTATAGATGAATCTTCGAGGACCGGAGAACGGGGTGGCACTTGATTCTCTCGTAAAGAACATGAGAAAATGAGCCTTCTTAGTCCTCTGTGTCCGACGGATGATCCCGTGCCTTTAGGTACTTGAGCACACGAAGTGAACCCCCTATATTTGGCTGTGAGACACGCCGTGGAGGGAAGTTGTCGGTGATTCATCCAACCTAAGAGCTCTTTTTTTATTATTGCACTGTATGTTAAGGAAGGGGAGTAGGAGGGAAGTGTAGGATCAAATATAAGAGGAATTTGTGCGCAGGTCAATGACGTGGGGGGGGGATGCGAGCTGGCGTGAAATAGAAGTTTCCGTTTCGTCTTCAGCGACAGAAGGCCAAGTCTTCGCATATTTCCTCGTCTTTCCCTCTTCCCCCACTCCGCTCGTTCCTCCTCTGATACTCATGATTTTTCTTTCTTTCATTTCTTTCCTCATTTTGACTTCATGATGTTTGCTGCTGTTTCTAGTTCCCCCCCCCCGCTCTTCATTTTATGGCGTGCGCTGTCCCGCGCTCTTACCAGTAGCAATACGGGAAAGTTGGCCATGTTACGGAGGGCTGGGCCTCTGCGCTTTCAGATCAACATAGAAATACCGCATTATCCCCGAATGTAAGGCGAGGTACATTTTCAAATTCTATGCTCCTTAGAAGAGAAAATTCGCTTTGTTTTTGGGCTCATAAAAATAGACATGAACAAGGTGACGAGTTCTGATTGATAATTTTAATGACACGTGAAAATATCCAGAATTATCGTATTTAAGGCATTGCATTTATGTGGTGTTTTATCTTCGTAATACAGTGTTCGCTTCATTTTGCTTACAACTTTCAAAAGTAAGTTACATATTTAATTTCATAAAAAGAAATGAAATTTCGTTTTCTACGTGGTTCATGTCGTATCAAAGGAAAATAGGCGACTAATTCCTCTCAGAACTTGTTGTTCCTTTTTTATTATTTTATCGTTGGGAAAACAGGTGGTCGCCTTATGTTCGGGCTTATACGGTAAACGACGCTTGCGAAATTTGCATATTTAATATTGTTAGGTGTTTGTGGCTGTAGACGGGGTTGAGATTCGCAGTCTGATCTAATAGACTCTTGCAGACCGCGACTACAAGTAATTATAACAGTTTCACTAACTCACACACTTAAGTCTCCAGAGTCTGCTATGTGTTCACCAGTCTTTGCTCGGTAGCTGGATTGAGCCGGCTCAGGATATGTTCCAATGGAGGGCTCTTGTGAATACGGTAATGAACCTTCGGGTTCCATAAAATGCTGGCATGTACTTAAGGAGCTGTACAACTGACGACTTCTCAAGAAGGGCTCAGCTCCATAGAGTTATTGTGTTTTTGGACGTTATCCATGGTCGCGTTCTTTTAAGCACTGTGGATTCTGTGTCCGTCCCCATAATGACTAGCCCTATCGATTCGGCCAACCTGAGCAGGTTTTTACCTGAAGACGGAGGTAGAGTTCAGTCTACGAAACGTTGTGTTTTAATGATAAAGTGAACGATGGGTATGCAGAGAATAAACGCACTCGTGTTAAGTTAGGGACAGTTTTATCTCTTATAAATACTTTCTTCTTGTTTATTTTGAGACAGCCACCACCTATTACTCTTCTTGAAAGACTCATTAATCCCATTTCTAGGCTCCTACGTAAGTTTTATTGTAACATTTAGTAATTTCCCTCGTGGCAAACAGTTGGAATGCAGATACGGAAGAAAACTGGTTACGGTCCCTTTGCTGCTTCATTGGCCATGTCCATATCAATCTTATCTTTAGATTTCCCGTTGACGAAGTCACCGGAAGAGATTCCACGCCAAACGGAAGTCGGGCCATGCTAAGAACGTGGGCGGAAATGGGAAATTGTTCGGTTGGATCTTCCTGTGGGTAAAGGGCTGCCGGAGCGTAAGACTGACAACCTTACCGCCATCTGTGAGCCGATTATGTAAAGAAAATGTGGGAGCCTCGACGTCTCACAGCCCTGTGGGCCTCCACGGCCTGTTACAGGGATAGCTTTACCAAGTAGCTTAAAGCTAAGCCTCGAACCCGTCATTTGGGCTGCTCTGAGTTGGCCGGCATCTTCGTTAAACGTAATAGAAAGAACTAAGTAATTAAGCACCACTCCTTGAGGAGGTATTGGGTTGTGGAGGTATAGCTCCAGCATTCTTAACTTCGGCACTAGATGCAGGTGACTGTTCAGCTTCACGCCCTTGCCACTTTATCCCCGGTGAAAGAGCCCTCAGCGCCCATTGGATACGAGGGTAGGGGGGCCCCAGAATCGGTGTGGACGCTGGAGTAGAGAAAAATCTGTTGCCCCTGCCGGGAATCGAACCCCGGCGACATTATTATTTTTATTATTATTGCAATACTTCAGTTCGTTTGATGTCTGAAACTCACTTCAGGGCAAAGAAGGTTTCTTTTTCAGACAAGAAATATTCTATAAAACGAAAAGAACAGACGATATGGCCACGTAAAATTTAATTACGGATTTTATTCTGTGAATATTATTTTATAAATATTGTAATTTAGATGCATTTTAAGCCGGTCACAGTGGCCGCGCGGTCTAAGGCATGAACTGTCTTTGCTCGCTCTGACGCTTTGATCGTGGGTTCGAATCCCGCTCAAGGCATGGATGTTTGTGCGTGTTTTTATCCTGTGTTTGTGTTGTTCTGTGTGCACGCAAGGACCTTGTGACAAGCTGATCCCCCGTCCGTGGAGTCCTGCCCTTGGTGTAAGAAACATTACGGAACTGAAGAAGAGGCCAGGGCCCAACAAAGGGCTGCAGGGCCACTGATGAATGACTGAATGAAAGATTTATCTAAGACATCTTCTCTTTAGGTCACCGCACATTTCTCAGCAAGTTTTTTTGTTTCTTTGGGTGGGGTGAGACTGAGTCCACTTGGTACGTCGGCCACTAACTGGCCTACTGTACCAGCCACGGATGGTATGTGAGGGTGTGGAGCAGTCGGTGGAACGAGAGGCAGGAGAAACCGAAGTACTCGGAGAAAACCTACCCAAATGCCACTTTGTTCACCACAAATACCGCATGATCTGACCCGGACTCGAACCTGGGTCGCCACGATGAAGAAGTGGCGACTAGCCGCCAGCGGCATGGCGGGGCATTTTCTCAGTTACTGTACCCACATCATGGAGGAGTGTCTAATTGCCCTGTAGTCCTACTGGCAACTGTATTCTTGCTGACATTGTAACACTAACCGTACAATTTTTGAGATCGGAAACACATTTCATGCTGCAGGGGCAAGCCGAGTTGGCAACCCCACGGCCCGGATACTCATACGCCCTCTTTTGACGTCACAAAGTCTCCCCGCAGGCGGTCCCATCTTCTGGCAGAGAGAGGAACCTTTAATGAGTTCCAGGCTCTTACACGGCACTTGTCTACATCCGCGAGGTGTAGACACAGAGCTTCTTCCTTTGTCTACAACTTGTTAGAAGTGCAGATTAAGATGTGGGATTTTCGCTATTCGATTTCAGATACCAGATCTGAACATGTAATTGCTGCTCATTAAAATGGAGCTCTTCCTCTCAACCGCGTAATGGCGCCCTCAGATGCTTTGCGCGTGAGGTATGGCAAGAAGTAGCGCGGAAGTGGTTGCATCTGTATTGTGGGTCATGCACTATAACAAAAAAAGTAACCCAGTCTGTGGTTCTACAGCCCTTTTGTTGAACCTTGGCCGCTTTTTCAGTTTCTGAATCCTATACACACTCGGTCGCAAGACCGCTACCTACACACAGACATCCATGTCCTGAGTGGGATTCGAACCAATGATCATTGCGTTGAAGCGATCGAAGACACTTTATGCCTTAGACGCGCGGCCACTGCGACGCAGCAGACGCCGCTATAACCTGCATGCAAGATTCTTTGATATTTTATACTTTTCTCTTTATTTTCTCTTTGACTGTCTTTAACTTCTGGAGGGGGGAGGTAAATGCAGCTTGACAACCCCCGCCAACCTATAGCGGCGCCCATGGTGTCGCATGTCAAAAGAAAGGAAGGAATTTTAGTATCCATCATTGTGGGAACCTGGAATTGTTGAAGATCACTGGATAACAAAACTTTTATCTCATCCACAAAAATGGATGGATATCACAGGTCTTTGTGAGGCCGAGTTTGAAAGTTGCCTTGCAATTACAAACCTTGCTGTCAACCTTTTGTTCCAATGTCTTCCACAACTTTGTCCGTCTGTTTCTTTTTCGATGTCGGCGTCTGAAACAGTAAGATAAAGCTCTCCCTGTAACAGGCCGTGGAGGCCGATACGGCGGTGAGGTTGTCAGCCTTACGTGCTGGCCACCCTTTACCCCCAGGAAGATTCCCGGTACTCATTTCTGTTAGAGGCTGAGGGCCATATTGCGGCTGGAAGGATTAGGTCAATTGAAAAATCCAGTGGTCTCATCGTGAATCGAACACGCGACCTTCCGACTTTTAGCATGGTGCCTCAGCCCACTATGGTACCGCGTGTCCCGTCTGACACAATAGGTCGAATATTCTCGTGCTATCAGCCGTGTTCAGATGGTTACATTTTCCCGACGTTTCAGGGACCGTCACTGTCCCCAATCAGGACGATCAGTTACAGACCATGATGATAGGGCAGATTGTCCCAGAAACGTCTGTTAGATGACCAATTTCGGACCTCCGTGAAGGCTCCACCCAGATCTTACAACAGTAGGTTTCCTTGTTGCAGGCGCTGGTATATCGGGACGGCGGCAACCTGGTGTCAGGGTCACTGGACGCTCTGGTACAGCACATGGTGCCTACCGCGGAGTACTACCCTGACCGCGCCTACCTCTTCGCCTTCTTGCTGAGTTCCCGCCTCTTCATAAAACCTCACGAGCTGCTGGGGGAAGTCTGCGCGCTCTGCGACTCGCAGCAGAAGCTGGGAGACAAGCAAGTGTCTGCAAAGGTAAGCGCGCCCGTGCGGGGGTCTGGTGTGTTAAAGCGGGTGGTACTTATAGTAATCACTGGGGTTCAGAGTAATAGATTAATTGGCCCTTTAAAGACTGAGTCAGAGTCAGAGTCATAGTCACTTTACGACTGGCGGTTTGCCTCCAGTCAGTTCATCTTTCCGACAAGCCCCTTGAGACTCACGACCGGCATTTTTTTTTCAACTGAACGGTTGCGCTGATAGTCCTTATTTAATATCGTCTCTGACGAGAGGGTCGGTCTATCGTTTACAATTTCTGCTGGTCCTCGCCAGCTTAGTTATTCTCGAGTGTAAGTACCGCGGGACTCACGACATTTTACTGTCTCAAATTTGAGACTTCCCCAACCTGGAGGGTCAGGTCCACGTATTTATATCCCTCAGGAACAGGGTGTCCCGGTAATACCCCCAGGCACTGGGTCCCTTTTCGTCGCCTCCTACAACTCGCAGAGCTACGGTGGAGTTTGTAGACTGAATTACCTCCAAATAACTCTGAGTAATTTCCAGTCTACCTCTCTAATTATGCAGACGTACGAGTACAAGCGCAGTAGACCCTCAGTGTAAGGCAGGTGTCAGGGGATTGCTTCAGCATTCACGTTACAAGTGAAACTGACATTTATTTAATTTGGGAAACCTCGTTCTTCTCTATACAGTGTGGCAGTTTTTCGCACTTGCCCTCTCCAGTAGCTCAGCGGAATTTCCTACCTTCTGCTGTTTAAAAAAAAAGTAAAGCTGTCCCTGTAACAGGCCTTGGAGGCCCATAGGGTTATGAGACGTCGAGGCTCTCACATTTTCTAGAAAATCGGCTGACAGATGGCGGTGAGTTTGTCAGCCTTTTGCGCCGACCACCCTTTACCCCCAGGAAATTTGCTGATACCAATTTATGTTAGAGACTGAGTCGACCCGAGGGCCATAGTGCGGCTGGAAGAATTAGGTCAATTGAAAAATCCAGTGACCCTATCAGGGATCGAACCCGCGACCTTCCGACTTGTAGCTTAGAGAATCGGGCAACTACGCTACCGTGTGGTACTCACTAAATGTTGCTGTTTGAAAAAAATAAAGCGAAAATTAATTAAACCAGAAATGACTGAAGCGGCAAGAGCATGAAGCTGACCCCTCACTTCTCTCTCATACCCAGGTTAACGAATGTTGGAGCTATACCTCCACTCTCCCATATATATATATGTATATATATGGTGCTTAATTAAGTACATGGATAACCTTTTTACAGGCTGTTCATAGCGAACCACAGCCAAGAGTGTTGCTATACGTTATTATACAGTGACTGAAACATTTCATAGAAATTTGTACGATATATACGTAACTGTATAATCGTATTGGGGGGACGTAATGAAAGCCTCGGTTTAACGAGGGCCTTCTTTACACGAATTTTTCCCGTTCTGTAATTATTCACAGATTATAGACTGGGGCCTGGACTTCATCCTATTTTATTCTACGTTCCTTATTTTGAAAAAATATGAAAGCTTATGAGATGACCTTGCTGTCTTTGTACCCATCTCTAATGTTTGGCACTTAAGATATCATTTTGCTGTTCTTTTATCCCCTCCCCAGTTTTTGTTAGAAGGCTTACGACATCGCATCCTGCTGTGTGTCCTGGCGTACATTTTTGGTCCGTGTCGCATCAAAGGAAAGTAGGCTATTAGTTCTTCCCATGGCTTCTCGTATATATATTGTGACATTAGACCCATTCCCAAGTAACAGTTGTGTAAACAGGCGAAAGCACAATGGGAACGTCCGCTCTTGGTAGCCGCTGCCAAGGAACGACGAGTAAAAACTGGGAATGCTTTATGTATGCTGCTGTTACGGTGAACTTTGCGGTGTGTAATTCAGTGATGCTATCGTAGTTATTTCTAGTTACGAGTGTAAGTGTCCAGTAAATCCGATTACCAATCCAAACCTCGTCTCTAGTCACACCACGTGACAATGTTATATCACTTTGCTCTCCTATGTTTTCCCCTCATTCTTTAGGCTTATGAGACCGCCTTGCTGTCTGTTTTTCGTTTTCTCTGCGGTCCATATGGAAGGAAAGTAGGCGGTTAGTTTTCCCAGAACGTATGGCTTGTATTTGATGTAAACTTACAGATAACATTCATCTACAAAATTAATGTATTTGATTGGTATATGTTCAGTGCTATGACAGGAATTAAACCGTTCACGGGCGTGGAAAATGCGGCCTTGTGGAGACCGCATATTTTCGCCTCATAGCCGCCATTTTGACATACGCTCACGAAAGACAAGATGGCGGTCGTGTGGACTGTGCTCTATGTGCGCTGGGAGTTCTGTATGAGTGTGACGTGATGTTTGTTGCTGTTCCAGGAACGTCTGGGCCGTTTCGTCCCACACCTAGTTCAGCTGTTGGCCGAGTGGACGGAAACCTTCCCTTACGACTTCAGGGACGAGCGCGTAATGGCACACGTACGGGCCATCACTCAAAAATGCGTCACTGTCGATCCGGGTATCAGGAAGGAGGTGTCCACTTTGTTACAGAATTTGCTGCACCGACTCACGGCGCTCGAGAAATATGAAGAGTTCCTGCAGAGGATCAACGCGGAGGCCTCCACCAACTCCGTGGAGAATCTCAGTCCGGTGAGTAAACAGCAACACGACCAAGGGATACAGAACAGATTGGCATTCGCGAGGTGCTGGGTTCGGATCAATCGCCTCTGTGGTCTAGTGGTCAGAGTTCCTGGCTTCAGATCCAGAGGTCCGGGTTCGATTCCCTGCGCTACAAGATTTTCTGAGAAGTAGTGGGTCTGGAACGGGGTCAACTCAGCCTCATGATGATAACTGTGGAGCTATTTCAAGGAAATAGCGGCTCCGGTCTAGAAAACCGAGATTAACGGCCGTGGGGATTCGTTGCGCTGACCACGCGACACCCTCTATCCGCTATCTTCGCCGGCAAACGGCGGTCGGTCGGTCGGTATAGTTCGCTTGAGGACTAAAACCACGGAGTTTGTTTTTCTAGGTTCGAATTTCAGCTGTAGACACTGATTATTCTTACTAAGGTTTTGTTTGGTTTTCCTCAGTTCCTCCAGTTATATGCCGGTGTTGTACCTCGATTAGACGACGACCGGTGTCTTCCAGATCCCTTCCAATTCATTAGTCGATACTGAAAACTTCATTAAATAACACACGAAAAAACGACAAGTAATGTTGGGCCGTGGTGTTAGAGACGCATTGGTATTGGATCGCGTGAACACAGGGAACGCAGGTTTGATGCCCGCCCGGGGCATCAGTGTCTGTATACTCTTTCTGTAGATTCTGAAGGGTTCTGACGATGGTGGATGACACACAGAATTACTTTTTTTTTTAATTTTTCCATCATCCGTAATTCTAGGTAATAGAGGAAACCTTTCGGAAACTGGATCTGAAGACGGAAACACATCAAGTTTCCGAAACGTCGTGTCCTTTATTACCTAGAATTCCGGACGATGGAAAAAGTAAAAAACCCCAGTAATTTTTTACTTTTTCTGTGTTTTGTTGCCCTGTGTAGGGCAAATGATATGGGCTCGTCCCACCCCGGTACAAAGGGCCCTGTCAAACATCTTAAATGTTTCAGAGTTCTAAAATCAGTTCTGAAACAGAAGACGTCTGAGCGCCTACTCCATGAATATTGCTACTGCTACCCCCAGTGATAGTTTATCAGTGGAGATTTGTGTTGAGATAAAGAAGGTGTGTAATTACGTGTAGTGGCTGTAAATCGTGTCCAGGGAAATATGGAATTGCTGTGAAGTTGTTTTGCACACTTCAGTCTTAGTTATTTACAAACGAAAATATTTATATTTTTATTCCTTCTTTAAACATCCTGGGTTTGAATATAATATTATCAGACACTGACTAAATACATATGTTTACCGACAGATGGCAGGATAAACAGACACAGTGTTGTCGGGCCAATAAGAGCTGGTGCAGGCTTCCAGTCTTATCTTCAGGAAAAACCTGTGTTTTATCGGGCGTCTTTCAGAATCGCTGACACGAGAAGAAAGTTTTTTTTTCCTACACATGTAGTCTTTACAGCATCCCACCAACCCCAAAGTTTCACACCATATGTTATTGGAGATGAAGCGAGGGGGGAGGGTGCCGTACTTAGGGAAATAAATCAAGCCGAGACACATTAGAGAACAAAAAGGAAACTTAAGATAGCAACTTGGAATTGTATGGTTTCTGGGAACCAAAAAGAGTTTCCACATGCTACTGTTTTTGCATTTAATAAGTTCACTGTCACAATCCAGTAACAGAGACACATGTACACCGTTAGACAGTTAGTACTAACACATATAGGGTGCTTGAGTTGGGTAATATAATTCAGTAAATTATTACGAGAAGGAAGAAATGGAGTAACCGTGTTGATAGATTGAGTGAAGTCAGGTGACTGAGATGGCTGAAGTCAGTATGAAGCGAAGTAAAGAGTAAGAGAGGTGCCAGTGAATTGTCTTTAGACTGAAGATCATTTAGAAGGCCTTTATGTAACTGAAAGGATAATATTAAAATGAATGTTGGAATAAAATGATTGTGAAAATGTGAACTGAATTAATTACTTCGTTATATGCTTCAGCAGCAGATTTCTTTTGGCAGTTGTGATAAACCTTAGGATGCTGTTAATAGTAAAGAATTAATTGGACAAGTGAATAACTATAAGCTGTTCAAGAGACACCCATTTAAACCTAAATCTTCCAGTATGATGGTGGCGGCCAGATATTGAAGCAAATGTAATGGTATTGGTATGGAATAGAAAATGCAAAACTCGGCCAGTAGGACTGCGCAAGATATCTGTTTAAGGCTAATGGAGATGTTCTCAGTTGAGGTTCTCACAGCAGTGACTGTGAGAAGTGCCATCTTCTGGAATGTGTCACCGTGTAATTCAGTAGATGTTCACTGACATTTCAAAGGGAAGTACTGCCTCCATCTTCAGGGTCAAAGAGTAAAATGTGCATGATTCTTATTGTTGCTTGCTTAGTTTACTCTTGAAACCTGAAGATGGAGGCGGTACCTTCTTCCAGAGTATTAATGATCTTATTCCAGAAAAATAGTGCTTTGTGATAGAGGAGTTATTTTCTTGGTTATATAGTCAATTAATTAGCACTTAGTTATTGGTTCTGTTAGTTAGTTTGTTGGCTAGGTACAGAGTGAGTTTACTATCTTTATCGATTGGGCCCAACTGAGTAGGTGTTACCCTGAAGGCGGAGACACACCGCCGTCTCCAAAACGTTTTGTTTTTAAATGTAAACAGGGAGAAGTTTTAAATAAAAATGACGATGCATAATGTCACGAAACATAATTAATTGTGTTCACACACCATCACAAACTCTGAGATCTTATTGGCTGTTTAAGTACTTAGTTTGCTTGTTAGCAACTTGGTTAATTATCTATTCAATTATGTAATTAGTCTGTCACTTAGATAGGTACATAGCTGTATCCTTAATCTAGATGGCTGATCTCCTGAGTACAAAACTAGGCGATAACAGATGTGCAGCACCCTTAATTTCTGCACCATGGGAAGACAGGAAATATCTGCTCTATATTATTCCCTTATATTCATGTATACTATTCTTTTGTATCCATGTATACTATTCCCTTATATTCATGTATACTGTTCCCTTATATTCATGTATACTATTCCCTTATATTCATGTGTACTGTTCCCTTATATTCATGTATACTGTTCCCTTATATTCATGTATACTATTGCCTTATATTCATGTATACTGTTCCCTTATATTCATGTATACTGTTCCCTTATATTCATGTGTACTGTTCCCTTATATTCATGTATACTGTTCCCTTATATTCATGTATACTTTTCCCTTATATTCATGTGTACTGTTCCCTTATATTCATGTATACTGTTCCCTTATATTCATGTATACTTTTCCC